GAGGAAGAGGCAGACAGGGGTACACAGAGAAATCCTGCCTCCAAACAAAAACAAACAAACAAATAAAAAACAGTGGATCTTTTTACTTGGATTTTAGTTAATTCCAGATGTAGTCAAGTTGACAACCAAAGAATAGGTATCCCATAAAAACAAAAGGAGAATGAGAAGCCGGTCGACTGTACTTGGGTTTCAAACACCCAGGGTAGTAGTCAGCCAGCTAATAAAAACTTTCTATTAGCTTGAATCAGTGTCCCAGTGCCCTTCTCCGGTGGATACCTCATAACACTATGTACATCAAGCTAGCCTTAAACTCGCATATATCTGCTTGTCTGCTCCTCCCGCGTTCTGGGAATAAAGATGTGTACTACTATGCCAGACCTGAAAAAAGTCACTTGTTTTTTATTTTATTTTTTTAAAGATTTATTTATTTATTTATGTAGTATTCTGCATTCATGTATACTTGTACTCCAGAAGAGGAAACCAGCTCCTTACAGATGGTTCTGAGCCACCATATTGTTGCTGGGAATTGAACTCAGGACCTCTGGAAGAACAGTCAGTGCAAAAAAAAAAGCTCAACCTCTGAGCCATCTCTCAAGCCCTGCTTTTTATTTTTGAGATTATGTCCTCACAAAGCACTGACTTGCCTCACACATTGTGTCCATCATGACCTTGCACTTCTGATTCTCCTTTCTCTACTTTCCAAGGACTTCTTTTGAGACAGGGTTTCAGTTCAGGTTGGTGCCAGATTTGCAATTTTCCTGAGCCAGCCTCCCAAGTGTACCATCACAATCTGTTCCTGGAGGACACAGGCAAGCTAAACAATCACCATAATAGAAACACAAAGCCTCTTCTCAGGATATTCTTCTATCTGTGCTTTGGCTAATGTCTGCTTTCATTGCTTTAGGAATAAGTGTAGTGCTATTTTGTTTGTAATCTAACAAATAAAGTTTGCCTGAAGATCAGAGTGCAAAGCTAATCCACGAGATAGCCACACACACACACACAGTAAGCCACTAGTTAGCCATAGAGGCCGGGCTGTGGTGGCCACACCTTCAATCCCAGCATTCAGAAGGCAGAGGTAGATGGATCTCTTTGAGTTCAAGGCCACCCTGGGCTACCTGAGAGTGAATCAGTCTAAAAGAGAATCAGAGCACTTGGGATAACAGGCCTTTAATCCCAGCACTAGAGAGGAATATAAGGCAGGAGCTCAGAGCAGTCTGAGGTAGTCTGAGGAGCAGTGCAGTCGGGAGATGCAACCAGAGGACACAATTTGCCCCTTCAGTCTGAGCAGTGGTAGAGGGGAGAACTCTCTAGTGGCTGGCTGCTTTGCTTCTCTGGTCTTCAGTTTTACCCCAATATCTGTCTCTGGGTTTTTATTATTTATGCTACAACTATGTGTCACTAAATATTATTTTCTTTCCTCTAGAATACTCAGTTGGAAACTTCTCATGCGCATTAAAACATGCTCAGGATTCTTCATACATGCCCCTCACTCTCTCCATCATTCATCTTGCAGATATGACATGATAACTGCCTTCTCTGCAGATATGACATGATAACTGCCTTCTCTGCAGATATGACATGATAACTGCCTTCTCTGCAGATATGACATGATAACTGCCTTCTCTGCAGATATGACATGATAACTGCCTTCTCTGCAGATATGACATGATAACTGCCTTCTCTGCAGATATGACATGATAACTGCCTTCTCTGCAT